GCCCTGACTGAACTGCTGCCTAAAGGCAGCCCGAGTTTCAACTGCAATTGAAACTCGGGCCCTAACTAAACTGCTAAAACGCAGTTTCAATTGCAATTACAAACTGTTTTCCTGACTGCGCCAAAGTTACCCCCCCAAAAAAAAGAGTTTTCTTTTTTTCGAGTCCGTGACTCTGGGTGCAAAAAAAAAAAAAGATTGATTGATTGGTTGATTGATTGGTTGATTGGTTGATTGGTGAAATGGTTGATTGGTTGATTGATTCATTGATTGATTGACTCATTGAATGGTCGGAACATGCCCAACACCACTGATCGGTACAGCGCCCGATGTAGCTCCCACGCGTCTTTGTCGGTAAATGGCAACGACTCCACGTCCACCAGCTCCACCAGATACTCCGAGAAGTTTGCACRTGGGGTAGGGACTCTCTGTTAGTTGGTAGGGAAGGGTGGTGTAGGAGAAGAAGGGAGGCATTTAGTATGAGGGAGGGGGAATTGCTTGGATGTTAAGGGGGTCAGTGGGGGGACTAGACCCAGGGTGTTGTCGAGGTCAAGGACTAGAGCCAAGGTGATCGCTGGCAGCRGTAGCCAATGGTTGTCCTTACAGTATAGGACACCTTCCCCGAGTTAATACTCCCAGCGCACCTCCTAACCCCTCTATCCTACCTCATTGTGACCACCACTTAGAGTAGCCAAAGYTGGTGCCCACGGACACATCCTAATGTCCTTCCCCTAACTTACCCGAGGCTAGGTGGAACTCTGAGTAGCCAAAGCGACTTGTATCCCTACCCTACCAAGAGTCTACACCATGCATGAGCAGACCCCGTCATATACCTRAWAGACCCCTGCCAGCCTGGTATTATAGTAGTATGTATATGCATGCCCAGAGGCTATGTATGTATGAGCCCGCAGGCTGTRTGTATGTTCACAAGCCATGTTTCGSGTGCATGCCCGGAGGCTATTTATGTGCYTTGTAGCTGTATAGCAGGATGTATGTGTGTGACACCCAACCTCACGCCCAGCGCGACTTCCTCATCGGAGTAGGATGTGGGCCTGGAAGTGCGAATAGGGGGTGTGCCAAGGATTTTTGGGAAAGTGGAGTCCCAGGTCAGAACTTRGATCTCCTGTGACAGGGTCTYCYGGGGGCACGAGTGCAATTTGGCGGAAARGGCGTCTTCGGGTTACACAACAKATGGTATACGAGGTTCGCTCAAGACCGAGCGAGCCATTGGTTTCGGGGATGGCGGTTCGGGGGCGGGTCCCTTCGGGGTATGTGGGGTTCCAATGAGTCCGTCTGTCGGGAGTTGCCACGTGGCGCTGGTCGTCGCGCGTTCCGGTTAGGCCTCCGGAACTCCGGGGTTCTCGGATCGCCACGTCGTCGACAGTTCCCGCAGGGTATGCTGGGCCAGTAGGGGGCTATGGCCGGCCACAGGATGATGCTGAGTTGATGATACGGAAGAAGAAGGCGAAAGGGAGGGAAACTGGTGGTGATGATGACAAATCCGGGGTGGATGAAGTAGTAGGTATGGTCCGGAGAAGGGAAATCAGAGCACCGGGGGTCGCTGGTGGTGGCGCAGTGGAATTCCCGGGGACACAGTCGGTTCTCAGTTAGGCAGGGGTATGTCTGTCTCAGAATCTCGTTTATCCAAGGGGTGAAGTAATCCGGGTCGTATGATGAGTAGGAATTTCAGGATCGTGCCATTGCGTCATTGCGGTGTTACGAGTTGCCTAAGGGCGGGTCTGTGGTGATTGCGATCCCCACGTGCGAGCACGCGCAGGCCACATGAATGGCGTCGGACTTACCCATGCTCGTGCRGGACGATTGCGCCGCTGCGGATTCTGGGACAGCCATTCCCAATTGGATAGGGCATCTGCGATCGATGGTCCTGATGAGTCGACGCCCGGGGATACGTGTAAGTGTGCAACTCAGATCGCGCGATGTTCGCCAARCCCGACATCCGATCGTCTAATCACTCCGTGATGTCTCGAGCATGCAAGATGGAACRATCACAAACAGCTCGATCAAAARGCAAGCAAAGACAAGGACAAAATTATTGATTGCACAAAATTCYTATTCTGCACACGAGTGCATMRAASGCGACAAACAAAAGCAAGGACAAGGATTCCCARCAAAAAGATAAACAAGCAAGCATAGCATCCATACATCCATACATTCAGCAATCATACACACAGTGCATCCAAAGTGGAAATCGCAAGGATGAGTGCGAGCAAAAACCCAAGCTCGAATTCTGATAACAAAAATCGGCCAAACTCCCCAGAGCCGAAATCAAAACTTATATACACGAGACAGGAGGGAGAAAAGATAAAAGAAACAGCAACTCCACGTCCATCAACCTCAACTCTCTCTTCCTTTCTCTCTTCTTCTCCGATGTGGACAGTCCGTCGTCTCGCACCAACCCACAATGTCGTCACCCCACTTAGTCCTCTCGCACCCGTCAGGTTCGCCCGCGCCCCGGTCCGTCGTGGCCCGCGTCAACCCCGCGCGTTTGGTACCAGCTCGTCAGGTCGCCCGACTACTGCTCTACTCACCTCTTACTTCGCTCGTGTGCCGACCCTCTCTGATCGCGCAACTCCGAGCTTCCAACAGCAAGTTAAGAGAGTCAACTAATCGCGCAACCAAAATTTATAGCGTGCATGCATGCGCGAAAAACACGAAATTAAAAAGACTTAGGAGGGACAAGGGAGGAGGGATTGCCTACATCGGCATGACCTGATTGCGGCGTGGGGGACGTAGCCGCTCTCCACTCATCGATCCGATCATGCAAACGACGGCTACGAAAAACGCAGCAAAAGAAAGAGAAGAAGGGCGGGAAAGACGAAGCGCAAGAAGAAAGATACAGTTACAATGGCGCCCGCCCAAAATTACAGTTACACACACGATTAAAGGCGCCTACTAATCACAGTTCCGTTGTAGTCGCATGAAGAAGCGCATAGATAAAAAGCGTCGCGCGGCAAGAAAAATCCTAACTACGAAATTCCTAAATTCTTGTCTAATGTGAAAAGCACAAATTCCARAAGAAAAGTCTGAAATTTCGAGAGCCATCAGGGCTCGACAAAATTCGAAAAAGATTTAAAAGAAAAATCCAAAAAGAACGAAGCAATTTCCCYCGCGATGTCCGCGCCCAAAAGTTTGGAACCGAAATAAAAGAAACGACATCAACATTTATCGATCGCGTGCACGGCGGCGCGCCAGCCATTCGGTCAACCAATCAATCAACCAGCTGTCCTAGGACACACCCAACTCCGAACCCAGCCATTCGAAAAGAAGCGACGGAAAAAAAAAACGAAAAAGCAAGGACACTGATGCAATATCTCTCTGATCCCGATATCCCGTAATTGGCCCGAGCTTCCCAACCTAGGACCCCTCAACGTAGCTGCTCAGAAAGTCGCAGGCTACAGAAAGTGGTTCGTCACATATGTGACGCCCAAGGGGTTCAAATATTAGCAAGCTCCTGCTTGCTTGTTGACACGYGTCGATTTCTCTAATCGACCAACACGCGGAGCTCTTCTTTCTATGCCACTTACCGTTCAATTGAGTGTGGACGTCTTCCAACATGGCATGCAAGCTCTTCTACTATTTCCTCAGGAAGGGCTATTGACAATCCAAGGAGAGGGGGGGGGGATCACACCCATCGTAGACTGACATGTGGCAGCCAACCATGCATCCGTGTAAAAAAGGAGGGTAGATCCTAGACGTTTCCGAGGAATGGCAATCGAATCATCGAGGGTGGAGGTGGTGGATGGTTCAGGGGGAGAGGGGGCATAAATCGATTGATGGCGGGAGAGGCGAAATCAGGAAGGGTAACGTAGTGGAAGGAACGATGGATGCGGGGGAAGCGAGGGACCTCATGAAGATGGCGAAAAGCGGCGATGTAATTGGGGTAGATGGTAGAAAGGGTCCGTCGCAGGGCGACGTGAAAATCTTCGTAGTTTTCGCAGGCGGGAATAGTTCCCGATATAATACAATATATTTCTCCGTGGTTATATTCCCGCCAGTCTGCGCTAAACAGGAGCACATGAAGGAGAAAGGAATCAACCACAGAGCGGGTGGTGGCATGCGGATAGACGGAGACTAGAAGGCGGGTAGCGTAGAGATGGTAGAAAAGGTGATGGGGGAAAGGACACCAACCATCAGGGAACGGGGGTCTATCGGGAAGACGGGTAAGCATGAGGTAGTCACGGGGTCGGCRAGAGAACGACCGGGGACGAAGCCCGAAYGCCGAGATCTTGATGTACACAAATAGAGGACCGGGATGGGGAGCCGGAGGAAGCTGGCGATTCACTTCTTCTTCTTCTTCTCCGCGATCCCTCTGCTGCGGTTCCATCGTCTTCTTCTTCWRGCGGCTCCGGATCACGCCACGGATTCCCGATCGATGGATCGATAGGAGAAACGTTTGTTGTGGGTCGCTTTCCCTCCGCGGTCTCTTGGCGCTTCCACTTCCTCTACTCTTCCTCCTCTTCGTTCTTTTTACACGGCTGGCTCGATCCGCTAGCTATCCCCATTTCTCTTYCYGGGACGTAGTCTGGATCGTCTCGTTCTYCACTCGATGGCTCCTCYTCTTCCTCCTCTTCCTCTGCCCCCCCTATCTCCTCGTCCTGCGCCGCGTTTCTCCTCGCGATCAGGTCCCAATACATGAGATCGGTAACGTCGATCTCCAAGTAAAGCGCCTGGGAGGGATAGAGACAGTTGTCCTCGTCAATCTCCGTACACGTGGACCACACAAGGTGCGGCTYGAGCGTTCGAGACAGCACGTGGGTGYCAGGCTGCTCGTCACTGCGTGACAAGATGTCTAGGGGCAGATCATCCASCAGCTGAGTCAGAAACACCAGCCGCTCCTYCGTGATCAAGGTGAGATTGCCCTCCTCCACCTTCCCGAATACGAATCCCAGCAGATCGCCAYGCTGTCCTCAGGGTGCTAGGGGCAGATCATCCACCAGCAGATCGCCACGCTGTCCTCTGAATATGAATCCCAGTTGAAAYGCCARGCTTGGATGATCAGAAGCTCCACGCTGTCCTCTGGGTGCTCTGGTCCTTCTCCGAACGGGGCCGCTTCTGACCAGTGGAACTCTATCTCCAATAGACAGAAAGCGAGCTCGAAGTAGTCCTCCCACCACGCGTCCCACTTCTCTTCGCTMAATAGCGGCGCATTGTTCTCCTTAATACGGCARGAGAGAGTAGGGGCCCGCGCAGACTGCCAAAGGGTGGGGATGTTGGAGGGGAGGCCAAAATAGGAGACGCGACRATAACTCATTGGGGCAGCGCGAAGGGACGAAGCTCCGGAAGCACGATCGCTGGCGMCCTTCGAGACGGGCAGAGCTGGAAGTCCGTGTCATGTGCCGGCACGACGGTATCTCCTCGTTGAGCAAGGAGATTTGTCCACGCTGCCCGCACTTCCCCGGCCTTGGCGCTCAACGTCCGATAGATGTCGGAGTGAATCGCCGGCGGGATCGCTGTGATATCCCCAGTAAAAACGACGACTACGTCGATACGGCCAATCCCGGGGGGGGATAGCCGTCGGAAGGCCGAGATCTCGGCCAGAACGCGTGTACTTGCCTCCTCCTTGAATCGGAACTCCGTCGCCGCGTAGATCGCTGTCGTACTGAAGAAGGCTGCGGACCAGAGGAGATCAGAGCATAGATGGGGCCGCTGCACCTGCCATATGACACTGATTCGCCCCCGCGGAGTAAGTAGTCGCGCACCGATCACTTGCTCTGTTGCAAAGCTCATGGCGATGGTGACGGAGTAATAGAGAAAGAAAAGGAAGGAGACGGAGAGACAGGAGATAGGTAGTCGTTGCCCTCTTTCGCAGTGGAGGAGGAATCAGATGAGTGCGAAGATGGGGAAGGAGGAAGGGGACGAAGGTAGGACACGCGGCRGATGATCGGGCGAGCCGATCRRCTGCCGGAGACCTCAGGCGCAAGCCGCACGGTATTCGCACCGTTTGGTCCGCGTTCGATCACGCGGAATCGCCCGAAGGATCATGGCGCTAGCTTACCCTCGCGAGCACATTTCCTCACCTGCACGATCTCCCCTAATTTGTACTGGGGCCGTGGGCCTGCGTTCCCATTCTGGGCGTCGTAGCTTCGGACCTGTCAGCCTTGGGCCAACTCGGTCATTCTGTGTCGTTTTCGGGCTAGCCTGGGCAGGGACCGTTCCATTAATTCTAAGTGTCGTTTGGCCTTGTCCCGAGCCGTAGCCCTGGTGGGTCGCCGATTCAGTGTAGATTCATCCGGGAGGCTTGGTATCGAAACGCAAGCAACGCAATTGGTCCTTAATTGGAAGGGACTTAGCCCCGTCGATTCATGAGGTGTACTGCGATGAACCACCAGGATGTGGTCGACGATATCGGGCCAGGGCCTCGGATCCCGTGCCGCGATATTTCGTCGCAACGCTGTCTTTATCACCCTGTTCGCGTTTTCTACCAGCCCATTGGACTATGACATGTGGGGTGCAGTGTTCCGTATGGCGACGCCATGTATGACCTGATTCCTCAGTACCTCTCCCCTAAATTCAGCCCCGTTATCGGTCAGGATCTCTTCCGTACCCTGGTGCACCCCGAGGAAACGGTTGACGTATGGTGCGATTTCAGCGGCTTGCCGCGTGCGACAAGGGTAGGCCTCGATCCATTTCGAAAAATGGTCGACGAATACCAGCAGGACTGAATACTCACAACTATTAGGATCA